TGTTGGTGTTGCCGTTGCTGTTGTGGTTGTTTTTGCTGCTGTTGTTGTTAGCGTTGGTGTGCTTGCTGTTGTTGTTAATGTTATGTTGTTGTTGATGTTGTGGTTGTGGTTATGGTTATGGTTGTGGTTGTTGCTGTGGTTGTGGCTGTGTAGTTGTTGTTGTGGTCCAATTGTGCCTCGGGCGTCCTGGCACTCGGACAGTCGCGAATCTCACGGGAATGGTGCCCCACTGGAGGAGCAGCCCTCTGCCACTCTGTGGGCCAATTTTGGGTCGGGCGCCATGGCCCCTCGGAAAGTGGCGACCCTCACGAGGATGGTGCCCCTCTGGAGGGGCTGCAGCCCTCTGCCAGCTCTTTAGGCCAGTTGTGGTTCGGGCGCCCTGTCCCTTGGAAAAGTGGCGACCCTCACGAGGATGCTGCCCCCTGCAGGAGGAGCCCTGTCGGCTCTGTAGGGCACTTTTGGGTCGGGCGCCCCGGCCCTCGGAAAGTGGCGACCCTCACGAGCATGGTGTCCCTCTGGAGGGGCCGAAGCCCTCTGCCGGCTCCGTGCCCCCATTGTGGTTCGGGCGCGCTGGCCCTTCGGAAAGTGGCGACCCTCAGGAAAATGTTGCCTCGGGCGCCCTGGCCCCTCAGAAAGTGTCGACTATCAGAAAGGAGTCGCCACTTTCTGAGGGCAGGGGAAGCCCCTCCGGAAGGGCGGGAAGCCTCTGCCGGCTCTGTGGTCCAGTTGTGCTTCGCGCATTCAGAATAGGGGTCGACGTTGGGTTAAGTATGTAAGCTATGTGTTGTGACAACCGCAATGAAAACTAAACCATGTAAGGAGAAACCTCGCCACCCAGCGCGCGAGGCGGCCAAGAGGCGACCACGGGCGACAACGTGGCGAAATCTCGCCGGGCTCGCCGGACCGAGGCGGCCACGAGCCACGGGGCGACCACGGGCGGCAACGCGGCGAAACCTCGCCAGACCCACCCAGCGCACGAGGCGACCACGAGGTGGCCATGGGCGGCAGCGTGGCGAAACCTTGCAGGACACAACATGCGCACGAGGCGGCCACGAGGCGGCCGCAGGCGGCAACGCGGCGAAACCTCACAGGACCGACCCAGCGCACCACGAGAGGATTACGAGGCGGCCAGGGGCGGCAACGTGGTGGCGAAACCTCGCTGGACCCACCCAACGCACGAGGCGGCAACGAGGCGGACACAGGCGGCAACGTGGCGAAACCTCGCCGGACCCACCCAGCGTCCGAGGCGGCCAGGAGGCGGTCACGATGCAGCCGCAGGCGGTAACGTGGCGCAACCTCGCTGGCTCCATCCTCGCTGGCTCCACGCAGCGCACCACGAGGCCCACGAGGCGATTTCGAGGTTGCCACGGGGGGCAACGCCGCGAAACCTCGCCTGACCCACCCAGCTGCTCGGAGAAGACCCCCCCCGTACCGAGAGGAACTCAGAGAGAAGAGTTCCCGCTGGGGAGGCAAGAAGGATGACAAGGAATCGCATCATAATCCAGATGTAATCCAAATGGGATCCTATTGGAGTCCGATTGGGATCATCTTGGGATCCCATTGAGGTCTGATAAAAAACCTGGTGGACATCCTACGGATCCTGTTGAAATCTGACCGGGATCTTATAAGAATCCTGTTGGAAATCCAGCTGGTGGATCTTATTGGGATCCTATTGGAGTCTTATGGGGATCAGAAGTGAAGCGGTGAGATCGCAGTGAAACGGAGAGCCACCCATTGGGAAATCAACTTCGGTTTCGTGTTCGTGTCGTTCGTGCGGGCGAGGCGAAGCTGCGTGGGCGGGAGAAAGGAATGAACCCTCCTCTGGCCAGGGCGCTGCCTGGTCCCCCCCCCCACTGGCTGTCCAGCGGTGGCTGGGGGTGTCCCGTCGGGTCCCGCCGGTGTCCCGTCGGTGTCCCGTAGTGAGATCGATAGTGAGACCGATAGTGAGACCAATAGTGAGACCGACAGTGAAATCGATGGTAGAACCGATCGCGAGATCGATAGTGAGATCGATAATAAGATCAATGGCGAGAACAATCGTAAGATCGATAGTAATATCGGTCACGCGATCGATGATGGGCTCGATAGTGGTATCGATAGTGTAACCGATAGTAATATCGAACGTGAGATCGATCGTGAGATTGCTGATGAGACCGGTAGTGAGATCGATAGTGAGATCGGAACTGAGATCGAAAGTGAGATCGGCAGTGAGATCGATCGTAAGACCGCTAGTGTAATCGATAAAACGATCGATAGTGAGATCGATGGAGAGATCGATAACGAAATTGATTGTGCGGTCGATTGTGAGATCAAGTATGACGTCGATTATGAGATCATTTGAAAGGTGGATAGTGGGACCGATAATGAGATCGATCGAAAAACATCGATTGTGCGATCGATAATGAGATCAATGAGATCGATTGAATGACACGTTGGTTTCCCCCCGATCCTCCTTATCACCCGAACGGTTGAAATATAGGTATGGTGGGGATCTTCGTGGCTTCCTAGTGACATCCAATCAGAACTCGATTAGAATCCGATGGGAATCCAATCGGCACTTATTGGGATCCGTTTGGAATCTGATGGACTCCAGATTAAGATCCTACCGGGTACACCGGAATCTGACTTGAATATCATGAAAGCCTACTGGGCCCCTTAGGTCCTTAACGGTGCCCCTGGGCGCCCAGGGAAATAGGAATGGCCCCGGCGTAGTTTCACCACCACGGGCAATCGGCACTACTGCCAGCACGCGTAGAACCCGCACACTGTCTGTGGCGACCCTGGCTTTCGAGATGGGTCACGGGGAGCACACCCGTTGGGTGCTCCACTCTCGTGGCGCTAGTCCCTCCCAACCTTCTTTGAAACGAAATCGTGGCCCAGAAGCCTGACCCCGGTGACTTCGTGGTCATGAACATGGAGAGGGCGCACCGACGCCCCCCCTCCCCTCCCACCACGCCCCGACATCCCCATCCACGGCAGCTCCGTTCTTGGGACCTCCCACCCCGCAATTTCTCGCCCGGAACCCACCGACGCCCCCCCCCCCCCTCCCACCACGCCCCGACACCCGCATCCACGGCAGCTCCGTTCTTGGGACCTCCCGGACCCCGCAATTTCTCGCCCGGAACCCACCGACGCCCCCTCCCCCGTCCCACCACGCCCCGACACCCGCATCCACGGCAGCTCCGTTCTGGGGACCTCCCACCCCGCAATTTCTCGCCCGGAACCCACCGACGCCCCCCCCCCCCGTCCCACCACGCCCCGACACCCCCATCCACGGCAGGGGGCGGAAGTCGCCTAGACCCCGTGGCCGGGGCCCTGTACCGCGACCCCGCGGATACGCAGCGATTTCTCGCGGCTGCCCCGCCCTAACTTAGGTCGGCCATGTCCTCCTACAGGCGGATTTGGGAGGAAGAACAAATAGCCAAAAAAAATCAAATATTCAGAACACAAAAAACAATAGTCCTTATACGATGTTTGGACTATTTTTGAATTTGCCTCCTGTAGAGGGACATGCCCGACTTGACCCTAAACGTCTTCGTGCGACCGCGTATCCGCGGGATTGCGAACCAGAATCAACGCCACGAGGGTGTCGATATGGACACATTCGCGGCACGTGATCGATGACTCCTCCGGGGGAACCAAAAGGTATCCATACCGCTACTCCCCGGACCTCTCCTGGGGCGCGCTCTGACCAGGATTTCGAAGCGAATCCAGCGGTGGCCTCGCAGAAGGCCGAACAAAGGGAAAACGGGCGAAACGTAGCGGAGTCGGGACCTCTTCCTCCTTTGATTATTTTCTTCCGCCCACCACTCCATCGCCGCCGCCACGGCTTCATCCGCTCCCTGGAGGGTCCGGGAGACCAACGACGACGACGACGACGACGGCGACGGCGACGGCGACGGCGACGACGACGACGACGACCAACGACCCTCCTGGGGCGCGCGGTGCCCAGCGCCGCGGATTGCCGCGCGGAGGTGGGCACGGCCTCGGCCGCCCCCAGCCAGGCGCTGGACCTCGCGGGGGGCCCAGGGGCGAGGCGGTGCCGCACGCGCGCGCCCGCGCCGCGGCCGGCGGATGGCGGCGATCCCGCGAGGGCCAACGGACACACGGCTGGCGGTGGCCTCAGACCCCTTAAGCGTCGTGGATTTGAACGCGTTTGTTCTGTGTGCGCGGCCAAAAAACGGACTTGTGTTGCAGCGCTCCTTGTATACATTTGCAGAGCATGTTTCCCCTTCTGGTTGCCAACGTTGCAACCCGTGTTTGCCAACGCGTCCTTCCGGATGCACGGCCGAGCGAACGAACGAGAGGCCATAACGGACGTTATGGGGGGAGGGGGGGAAACGGGAGGGGGAATAACGCAGCGCCACCCCCCCACCCCAAGCCTGTGGTGCCGGACGCACTGCGGCAGTGCCGGGGACGCACTGAGAGGGTAGCGTTACGTTATGGTGGGGGGGAGGGTAGGGGGCAGAGCGCGCGTTGTGGCCCGGAGGGTAACAAAAAAAACGCTCTTTTCTTCTTTCACAAAATTTCTCACGATCCTAGATCTTGGATTCTCGTCCGGCGCGGCCTCCGGTCTGGACCCCCTCCCCCCAGGGACCAGCTTTTCATCCTGATTGATTTGTGGACGGTCACGGGGCCTGGCAAGGGGGCCACGGAGGCCGAAAACTGACAGAAACCTTCGTACGATGCTGTCACGACGCGAGGAGGTCTGCATCGAAGGGGTATGTAGGTGCGAGTCGAGGTGCTCGGACGCTCGTGGGCCTGGGGCACGCTCGTGCCCCCCCTCGAAATGGCTGGTAAGACGCACCTGAACGCACACCTGGTCAGATCGGTTATAATCCTGATTTGGGCAGCTTCTGGAAGCATGACCAAGACCTGCGACGTCTTGACAAACCTCGTGGCGGCAATTTGTCTTCGGCCTCGGGGTGCCGACTTCGAGACCTGAAACCGTCGACAAGAAGACCCCGGGATGAAGAGCAGACCAGGGAAGGGGCTGATCGGTTTCGATTACATCGGGCCGCCTCCGCTGTGATGCAGTTCCACCTTCGGCCTCAGAGACAGCTTCCCCGCGCCCCTCACTAGCATCGCTGCCCCGCAGGTGCACGACGGCAGGACCAGCCAGCAGAAAGGTCAGAGGATGGCAGAGCCGGCGAGATGCGACACGCCATGCAGGCCATTCACGCCACCGCGCGCATGTGTCGTGCATGCTGCACCGCCCCCAGGGAATGGCAGAGACGACAGTGAGCGACGAGAGCGGCACAGGCGGCTACAGTGCTGCAGCACACAAGGCTCGCAGTGCAGGCGCGGAAGGCTAATAGGGCGACGGCCTGCGCGTGGGTTGCCGACAACGTGTCGATCGTCCAATCCTGAAAGATCGCGCCTTTCTTCTGATAGCGCAGATCGCCGAATGTCGACCGCCTCTGGGCCACCGGATGCATTCTTCTAAATTGAACGCCCGCGCTGGGTCACCACCGAATCGACGCGCAACGAAACAACCGTACACCATCCCTGGGAGGACCCTAAAATTAAACGCAAATCGCTCTGCTAGCATCTCACGGAAACAAACCGTCACACTTCACGACGAACCGTCAACAAAAAGGCAACAAATGCAGATCCCGGCGACCTCGAGTCTTACGTGTCAGCGATTAGAAGATGAGCCGCTATCCCGCAACAAGCGAACAATGATGGGTCTTCAGCGTCCTCCTCCTCCTCCTTCTCCTCCTCGGCGTCCTCACCCTGTTCATCCGCTTCCTCCTGCACTTCCCACACCGCGCCCCCATAATCCTGCGTCCAAGTCCGCCTCCTCCCTCTCCTCCTCCTCCTCCTCCTCCTCCTCCTCCTCATCATCCGTCTCCTCCTCCTCCTCCTCCTCCTCCTTCTCCTCCAAGACTTCTCATCCGCCCTCGTCCTCCTTTGCGTCCCCTCCTCCGATTTCCTCCTTCTCTTCCTCCGCGTCCTCCTCCTAGTCCTCGGCCTTTTTAGGGGACAGGTAAGCAAGAGATAGAAGAGCAGGACGAAAAGGAGAAAGTTACTCCTCCACGTTCTCCTCTTCTTCCTGCCACGATCGAAGTACCCGAACGGAGAGTACTGCGGGAGTGTCAGGCACATTGGGTGCTGACAGGGCGCCAGAAGGGGTGCACTAGCGTAACACCAGCAGGACAACCCAACTTCTCATTCTCAGCATCGTCGCCGTCGTCGTCCTGCCACACCCACCTCCTCTTGAGGAGGAGGAAGAGGAGGAGCCTCGAGCCTCGGTGGTCGACGCAAAGGAGTCCCCCTCCTCCTCCTCCTCCTCCTCCTCCTCCTCCTCCTCCTCCTCCTCCTCCTCGACCTTCGAGGCTCGAAGATCGGATTTTCTGGGCATTCTGCTGTTTCTCCAGGCCGCCAGAAACCTTTCAAGGATTCCCGAAGACCTCGCGGGGCTTCTGGGACACCCCCTCCCCTCTCATCCTCATCCTGATACAGAACGCAATGCCCCCTGCTCTTCCACATCCTCATCCTTATCCTCATTCTCATCCTGATACAGATCCTGCCTTACCAAGCGCGATAGACACCTCCAAGGCTACTTTACGGCCCAAATCCCATGAGCCCTTCAGACCGTGCATGGTTTATGGGATTTCCTCCTCCAAGCCCCCTTTCCCTCCTTCGGGAAGGGGTGCATCACTGCTCCCTGTGAACACACACCCCGTCTTCAGGCGGCCGGCAGCCAACCAGGACCAATGAGGGCCTCCCCACCATCCATGTCAGCAAGCAATGTGAAGTCCATTGTGGGGCAAAATCTTGGGTCATGATCAGGTGGGCCGCGAGTACTCTGTATTGTGTTTGACAGGGGCGGCGCGAGGGGACGCTTACTGCCTGCTGCGCGCAGGGCGAGCATCCCTGTGGAAAACAGCACAACATGCACTTGGAGACAAATTCTGGAGCATAACTACGCGGGCACCCCGCGATCACTGTGCATTGGTTCTTGAATTGGACGGCGGGGGTGCTGGCATATTGCCTGCCATGTGCAAGCCCAGCAGACGTTATGATGGCCACCCCGCCGTGATTGCGCACCTGTGTTCGAAAAGGGGGCCGACACGTTTCCCGATCTGTACTGCCACGTGCGCAGGCGCACATGGCACACTCTGCGCGTGCCCCGAACGTGGCGCACCTGGCGCGGCTGGAGCATGCGGCACACGAGCGGACGTGCATCACGTCTCGCATCTGGCGCACCAGGCGTGCCCAGCAAGCTTCGGCCATAGGGTTGCCTGCTGCACCATGCGCGCGTGGCGCGCCTCGCGCACCTCGCTCCAACGTTGTGAACAGGGGGGGTCGCGAGGGATTTGAGCGTTCAAGATCGCCTCGGCGAGGAAGCCCAAATAATTGATTGTACTACTGGCTTTGTCCACATGTTGGCCTCGGGGCAACGCTAATTGAGCAGCTCCCCTCCTTTGATGGATCTCCTTCAAGATGGTCCCAAGATGGCCCCTGTAGCTCCCAAGGGTCCCACAAGAGGGCTCCAAGAAGTGCCCAGCAGAAGCCCCGAAAGGCCCCCAAGAGACCCCCAAGATGCCCCCAAGGGGTTCCCAAGAGGCAACCAACACACCGCAAGAGGACCCCCAGATGCACCCAAGACGATTCAAGAGGCTTCGACAAGAAGGCCACAATCACTGATGTTACTAAGGAATTTGCAACATGCTGGCCTCCTGGGGCCTAATGTACTACGGCCCCTCCTTTAATCGATCTCCTCCAGGATGGCCCCAAGATGGCCCCCGAGGCTCCCAAGGGTGCCCCAAGAGTTGCCCAGGAGGCCCAACCATACCCCCAAGGGGCCCCCAAGATGTCCCCAAGAGGCTCCAAAGACAGAGACCCCCGAGAGGCTCCAAGAGCCCCCCCCAAAGGCGCCCAAGACGCCCCAAGAAGCCTCGAAGAAAATATCAAAACCATCCCTCAGTTAGGAGCACCCCTCCTTTGATCGATCTCCTCCAAGATGGCCCCAAGAGTTGTCCAGGAGGCCCCAAGAGGTCACCACGATGCCCACTGGATGCCCTCAAGAGGGTCCCCAAATTACCCCCATCAGGCTCCAAGAGGCCCCACAGAGGCACCCTGGACGCCACAAGAGGCCCCTCGGACTGCCAAGAGAACCCCAAGACGTCCCAAGAGTACCCCAATAAACTCCCTAGCGAAATCCGAAGAGACTCCGAGAGGCATCCAAGAGGCCTCTGGGCTTTCTGATCGCCGTCCACCTCCTCCTCCTCTTCCTCCTCCTCCTCCTCCTCTACCTCATCCACATGTTCCTTCTCCTCCCTCCTTCCCCCTACTCCTCTCCTCTCCCTCCTTCTCCGGCTCCTCCTCCTCCAGCTCCTGCTCCGAATCATCCTCCTTCCCAACCCTTTATTCCACTGCAGGATCCTCCACATTCCAGATCAGGGCCACTCGTCTAGGCATCGTTTCTGGATGGGCTGGTCGGGTTATTCGAAGCGTCTAGAATTAAGCCAGATTAGACCGGACGATGCCGATTCATGTGGATTTCTGGTTTTTTGCTGTATTGAACAAATGATGTTCCAGGACCGAGTCCTAACACAATCTCCCACTGCAACCAAAGAAGGAGGAGGTGAAGGAGGAGTGGTGACGATAGGTGGACGGAGGGTGGGACAGAAATCCTGAGAGAACGAGAACCTTTGACAATGTCCGGAATTCTGCGACAACCTCCAGACCCATTCAAAAACCAGCCGAAAACTCTGGGAGCCTTCTGGAAACCTCAGAGAGCAGCGGCGTCGACATCTGTTCTGCCTCCGAGGGGTCCAAGGAGGAAGCGTGCCAATGCGTGTCGTCAAGATCACCCCGGTCTCAGGCGCGGGTGACGCCGTGGGCATCCCCCTCCGACCGCCGCTGCCGCTGCGAACGCCGCACGGGCTCGCACCGTGGTCACCACTTGCTGTGGTCTCTGAAGAACTTTGCGACCATTCGGGCAACAACCTCGGAGAAGAATCCGGCGGAGATGCCCTGGTAGGCGTTCCAATGGTACTTGCTCCCGTACTGCCATTGTCGAAGCTTGGACTCGAGGAAATTCGGCAATTGGTTCCACTCGCACTGATCGATCTCATGACCATCATTTGGATCCGTGTGCTGCTGGAACCAGTGCCAATCATGAGCAGATGGACACTTACCCTCACCGAGACCCTCGAAGAACTCAAAAACTTCAAAGATGTCATTAACATCGGACAGACCAACGGCTCGCTTAAGCTCATCGGAGGTTATCTTCGCATTCCCTCCATATGACCAATCGTTCACATAATGAAACGAATTCATCCATTCCATTGCGGTGAGCTCGTGGCGAAGATCAGGAAAGACACTTGTCCAAGTGCCGCCCAAATTCTTCTTGCCGTCGGCCACCTCGTATGTGTGATCTTGGAAACAAGACCCAAATCGGATCCACAAGTGCCGATATTTCCGTTCGGTCACACACCCACCCTCAACGCCCACCGCCCTCCACAAGGGGAATGGAGGCGCTTACGGATCCGACTTGCGCTGGTTATGGTCTTACGTGCCCCGGCACCTCGAAGATCAGCTCAGCTGTGACACGAGCAGCAGCGTAATTACCAAATGATTCTCGGGACATCTTCTGACCCCGCCTTCTGCGAGGATTCGGCAACATTGCCTGCTTGGTACTTTGCATCCAGTGAATCCAATCTTGCATGTCGATGCTGTTCGGATCGTCGGCGTGGTGGTCTTCCTGCGTCGCCATCGCCATGAATATCACCATTGACGCGTGCGTATTGCCGACTCGAGCCGCCCACTCATCTTTTGACAGAAGCCGATCGGGACCAGCGATGAATTGAAATTCCTGCCTCCAACCTCCATTCGCCTTCGCATTCTCGAATAAACAACTGCCTGTGTCTTTCACGCTATTCCCAAAACGTGCACAGAAAGGTTGAGGAGGTTGCCATGGGGAACCACCATGTGGATATGGGCCGCTGCCTGAATGCGATTTGAAAAATAGTGTGACCATCCTTGCAACAACTTCAGCGAAAAATCCTGCAGATACGCCGTGGGTGGCGTCCCAATGATACCTGCCTGAATATTTGAACATACGGAGCTGGGACTCGAGGTAACCTGGCAACTGGTTCCACTCACACTGGTCGATCTCATGACCATCATTCGGATCTGAATGTGCCTGGTGCCAAGACCAATCATGGAAGTGTGGGCACTTACCCTCACCGAGGCTCTCGATGAACTCGAAAACGTTGAAAATATCAGCGACGTCGAAGAGACCGACAGCCCGCTTGAACTCATCAGGTGTTACCTTCGAGTTGCCTCCGCGTGACCAATCGTTCACGTAATGGAACGCACTCATCCACTCTACTGCTGTGAGCTTGTGGCTGAGATCGGGGAAGAAATTCCCCCACGAGCCGCCCAAATTCTTCTTGCCGTCCGCCACCTTTTGGCTTGCAAGAAACGGGTGAATCCAAAAGCGCTCCCCAACATCAGCTGTTCATCCCCAGCCGGTCTACTGACAACCCCAGGGCCTCGGAAGGGCCCAGGAGGCCAACACAACGAGACAACTCAGAACGCCGTTACATCCGGAACCTCTTCCTTGAAGAAGATGCATACGCATAAACGTAATCTCTCGAAGGCCCCCGTGGACTTCTTGGGTTGGCGCTGCCCCCCCCCCGCCCCATGTCGCGCGGAGCGCGCCAAGGGCTGTGCTGGAGGAGTCGCCAGGGGGCTCAAAACGCAGATCCAACGATTTCGCGTCGTGGGCATCTGGAACAACGTTTACGCGTATAAGATCAATGTTAGATGTTTCGTAACGGCGAACTTTCAACATGCCTGAAGGCTCAGAAAACACTGTGGACCAACAAAAAGCCGAGATGTCATCCCGACCGACCACCTAACCAAGCAAATGCTGGGTCGCAACCGCTGAAGGCTACCGAGGTCCAAACATGATAACACACGCAACAAACAACACAACTATACTCCTCCTCCTCCTTCATCCTCCTTCTCCTCATCCTCCTACTCTTTTCTCTCCTGCACCTCCTCCTACTCTTCCGCTTGGACTGCAAGGCAAACGCTACATAAACGAACACTGTGGTGGTCCGCACGGATCTCCGAATGCTTATGCAGCTGTTCGTTCTTCGATATTCGCCACTGCGAAACTCATACATCGCTGGACTCCCAAAGCCACGGTTTCCGCCTGCCCTACCGCTCAGAACGATCCACCGACCTGCCCCCTTTTCCTGGATGCCCCAGGTCCAAGAGTAGCAACCGAAAGCGCACCACAAGGTAGATTGGCATCCTGCTTCTCCTCTTCCCGTTTCCTTTCGTCACCTCCTCCTCGTTCTTCTCCAGCTACTTGAGCAAGGACCACCACACTCCGATGTATATATATATATATATATGTACACATACATCTAGACATACACCCGCATGCGTACATACATACATACACACATATACGTATATATATATATATATATATATATATGCATGGAAACATGCATTGATACACATCTACCAGATGTAATACTTTAAATGCGACACATAGTTTTGGCCGTCTCGCTCGGACGCACCCCTCACGCAGAACGCGACGTCACGGTCAACACCACAATAGAGCTTTGTTTCAGCAGCGGGAGATATAACCTTATAAAAACCGATTGCATTTCAATACGTGTGAACCTCTTTCTTTTAAACCATCAGCTGTTCCGCGTGAACTATTTCCAACGAGTTAAGCCCGACGTCTTCGCTGTTGTCCTCATATTCTTGAAACGACAATGTTGCTCGAGAAATCCTGCCAACATTGGCGTCGGAGGTCCTTTTCACCTGCGACCGTAAGGGTGGGAACACCCTGCACCACACACATCGCACAGTGTGGCACCCCCCCATGCGTTCGACTGGAATCCCGCTGTTGCACCTCCCTGCCAACAACCCCCTGGTGATCCTCACAATATCCTCTTTCTCTCCGTGTTCCTCTACTTCTCTATCCCCTTCCTCCTCCTCCCCCTCCTCAAATCCGAGTTCATGTTCGTCTTCGTCTCCGTTTCCTGCGATGCGCACGTGCTGCTGTGCGTTCTCTTACCCCTTATATCCTAGGTGTGAATATTCTTGTCCCCCTCCTCACCTCCTCGTCTCCCCAATTATCACTAACATCCTCACTCATCGCCCACGCACCCACCCACTCATCATCGCCATCACTCACTCGCTTTCTCTGACCCATGCCCATCAACGAGGAAGTCTCAAGCCTGAAACCGCTCCCTAGCGGGCCCGCAGCTCATGTTACGAATCCGAGCGAGCCGTCTTCAAACTTGTAAGTGTCGTCAATTTCGGGCTCATCAAGCCCGGATATGGAGGATGTCTCGAGCGGGAGGCTCGCTGGCGAGTGACTTGAGAAGAGGAAGTCTGTGGCGGGAGCCCCCTCCCTATGTGGCCCGCAGATCATGTTACTAATCCAAGCGGGCCATCGTCAAACCTGCAACTGTCGTCATCCTTGGGCTCCTCAAATCTGGATATGGAGGACGTCTCGGTAGAGAACCTCGCCCGTGAGCACATTGCGAAAAATCTAAGGCGGCAGGCCCGCAAATCATGCTACTAGTCCAAACGGGTCGTCCTCAAACGTGTAAGTGTCAGAACTTGTGGGCATCGTCAGTGAACGAATTGGGGAAGTCTGGAGCCCCTTCCTATTGAGGCCTGCGAATCATGTTATTACTCTCAACGGAACATCCTCACTGTCGCCACGCTTGGGCACCTCAGGCTTGTACATGCAGGAAGTCTCGAGCGGGATCCTCATCGGTGTGAGCTGCGAAGAAGTCTAAGGCAGGAGCCCACGCGATCATGTTACTTGCTAATCCTTGCGGATCGCCCTCAACCCTGTAAGTGCCGTCACTTGTGGACTGCCCAGACCTGAATATGAGGGACATCTAAAGTGCGAACCCCGTCGAAGAGTGAATTGCGAGGAAGTCTAAGGGGGACTCCCCCGTATGGGGCCCGCACCTCATGTTACGCAACAAGGGCGGCCATCATCAAACCTGTAACGGTCGTCACTTTTGGCTCTTGAGGCCTGATCTCGAACGGGAGCCTCGTTCGTGAACGGATGGCGAGGAGATCTCGAACGGAAGCCCCTCCAGATGGGGTCCACACCTCCAAGTTCGAATCCGAGCGGTCGCGGGGAAGTCTCAGGCGAGGGCCATGGGCTACGGGGCCCGCACTTCTTGTTCGACTCCGAACGGGTCAACCAAATCCTGTAAGTGTCGACGCTTTCGGACTCCTCAGATGAAGATTCGGGCGAAAGTCTCGTATGTGAGTGTTTGCGTAAGTGAATCGCGAGGAAGTCCCGAGCGGGAGCCCCTCCGTATGGGGCCCACACTTCACGATCGAATCCGAGAGGATCATCGAAATTATGTTAAGTGTCACTTTTGGGTTCCTCAGGCGTGAATGTGGAGAGGATCTCGGGCGGGAATCCCGTCTGCGCGCGAATCGCGAAGAAGTTTCAAGCGGGAGCCCCGCCCCGATGGGGTCCGGAAATCACGTCATTAATCCTAGATGGTCGCCCACAAACCTGTAACTGTCGTAACTTTGGTGCTCCTGAGGCTTGACTAAGGGGGGAATATCAAACGGGAGCCTCGTCTGTGAACGAATCGCGAGGAAGTCTCAGGCGGGACACCCTCCCTATGGGGTCCCCACCCCCAAGTTCGACTCCGCAAGGTCGCGAAAAAAGTCTCACGCGGGAGCCATTCGCTATGTGACCCGCGCGTCTTGTTCGACTTCGGACGGGTCATCCAAATCCTGTCAATGTCGTCGCTGCTGGTTGGGTCCCTCAAGCGTGAAAGCGGAACAATCATCTAGCGGAAATCTCGTGTGTGTGTGTGTGTGTGTGGAAGGGTGAATTCCGAGGATCACTCGAGCGGGAGCCCTGCCCTATGGGGCCCGCGCTTCACGTTCGAATCCGAACTGATCATCGAAATTGTTTAAGTGACGTCGGTTTTGGGGGTAGGAGACAGAGGAAGAAAAGGAGGAGGGATAATAGAAGGAAGAGGAGGAGGAGAAAGCTGAGGATAATGAAAAAGAAAAGGAGAAGGGGAGGAGGAGAACGTATGGGTCGCGCAATGTCCCTCCAGCTGCGCGTATCCATTGCGGATACGACGGAAATAAACGAAGAAAAGCAGGGAGGCGTGTTTCCTCTGGGTCGTGCTTCGGCAAGTACCCACTGGAACGAGCACGAAGAGGAAGAGGAGGGGGAGGAGGAAAAGGACAAGGAGAGGGAGGAGGCGGAGGAGGAAGAGGAGGAGAAGGAGGGGGAGGACGCACACGTGGGCAACAAGATCTTCGGTCTTCGGCGATCACGACGCGGGCCGGCGCCTCCTGAACGTCCCGAAATTGCAGGACGGGGGACATCCACAGCGTCTTGCCGCGTCGGCATGGATGTTCGGTTCACGGCCACGCAGGAAAACCTGGAAAACATAACTTGGGGCTCGTTCAACAGCAAATGGTCAACATCGCGCCCTTCGAATTTCACCCGGACGACGGGCAAAACAACGACGAACGAGCGCCGGGCCAGCTCTTTCGCCCCCGCTTCCCACCACAAGGAATATGGATGCAGGCGCGCGGGTTTCAAAAGGTCCCCAATTTACCACGATGTCGCCGAGCTGCTGTTACAGGGCGCCGAAGGCGCTGGCGATGACGGCGAGGCCGAGGCGCGGGCGAGGAGCTTGCTCATGTTCGAGCCCAGCGTGCAGGAGCTCACGTGGCAGAGCTCGGGGCCGCGCGTCGTGCGCCGCTCGGGTCCCGCCCTGGCGCGCGCGCGCTCTACCTGACCCCCCGCGCTGTCGCAGGGTCCGACGTCGAGCCAGGGCGCCACCATCCACAGCGCAAAGACACTTTTCACACGGGCATGTCGGACGAGCAGTAGTTGGGGGGCGGAAAGATACGGATACGTGTTGTCCCCGGACCTCTCTTGGGGTGCGTTCTGTCCCGAATTTCGAGGCGAATCCAGCGGTGACAACGAGGATTCCCCAGGAGGGCCAGGAAAGGCCGAAAACGAAGGGGGACAACACGTATCCGTATCTTTTTCTCCCCCGAAGTAGCGGCTTCCCCTCTACGTCACGATCTCCCGCGCCACGTGTGTCCCCGGAGCTCGGGCCGCCGGCGTCCTCGCGGAAGGCGCCCAGGGAGTCCGGCGAGCAACCGGAGACTTCCGAGGCGGAGGCGGAGCAGGTCGCGGCAGAACTCGGCTTTGCGCTGCCTCCCGCCCGGGCGAGGCCACGAGAAAATCGAGACCTGCGGAGATGTCTCAACAAGCCTGCTCCCACACTCGCGGGGTTGCCCCGACGGCCTGGCCGGCGGGCTTGCCCCAACGGCTTCGCGACCCGGCCATCGGAGAACGCGCGCGCGCTGTCGGAGGCGGCGACGGAGCCGAAGAACATCGACTTGCGCGCGCTTGCAAAAGAGGCGGAGGGGTGGGGTGGATGGGGGAGTAAGGACAAGACGACGAGGATGAGGAGGCAGAACAGGGGGCGAGAGATGGGCTTCCGCTGCGGCAAAGAAGAAGGGCGATGAGAAAGCAGGAAGAGAGCCTCGGCATTCACAAGGATGACAATGAGTATTCGATTCAGATTCGCTTGGGAGGTTCTCGCGCGCAGTCCGTCCGTCGGAGTAATGAGCCTGAGCACGCGAGTCCCACTTGTGCAGGTTAACAGCACACAAGTATGTGTGCATATAGATATGTATGATAACCTCTGTATATACACGTGTTCCTACGCATGTGCGCGTCTGTGCATAACTTTCGGAGGTCCGCGCAGATTGTTTGGGTCGGCA